GCAAGTATTTCCAGTGGTTATCCCTTCAGGCTTGTTGCCAGATACACTGCTTTCTGCTTCTCTTTCCATTCATTCATTTCTGCCAGGAGCTCAAATTGTGCTCTATATGCTTCCAACAGTGGCTTCCCATCGAATTCCTGTGGCTTCCTTCGTACTAGATCACCCCTATTGCTGACACTCATGTCTGGAATGTGATTCTGACAGGAGGTGAAGATGTCTGCATTAGGGTTTAGCTGCAGGGTCTGGAAGGGGCTTCCTGTTGTCTGAGGCTGATTAGGTCCATGGCTAATATATCCTCCTTGTGTATTTAATTCACTTTGAAATTTATTACTGTTTTCCATTTGTACTTCTTCCACTGTTGTTGACTTTCCTGTAACTGTAGGAGACTTTCCTCCTGTTTCCTTTCTTGTTCTAATTGCCACTTCTGTAGTCTTACTTGTTTATTTTGCTGTTCAAGCTGCCACTGTTTAGGTTTTCTTGCCACTGCTGTTGTCTCTCTTCTTGTTTCTTTTCTTTTTCCTCCAACAACTGCTGTAATCTCTCTTCTTGTTTCTTTTCTCGTTCTTTTTGTTTCTTTTGCTGTTCTTGTATTGCTGCCATCAAATCTGCTAAGCTGTAGTTTGATTTGCCACCTTTCGTTTCCATCATCTTTTTTTTTATTTTCCGTCCCATTCTCTGACACCAATTTGTTACGTCTCTGGTCGTTTGTTAATTTCCCGTAAGAATTCTTTCCGAAGAACTTCAGTGATACCAGTCCTTTCTTAAATAAAACTAGTTTATTCTTTCTCAATACAACTTTGCAAAACACTTAATTTCCACAGTCACTTTAACTTAAACACACGCTATATTTCACAACTATTCACGCACTTTACTTACGACTTGACTCAATTATCTGTCTCTATATCTTCCTATCAGCAATTATCTCCGCTTTATTTGCTGGGCTTATATACTAAAATAGAGGGCGCCTAGAAAAAAGTTGCCAGGAACAGTCATGATCCTTCTAGAAACTCCAGCGCACATGCTTCCAGAATCACATGACTTCCACTATCGTAACACTAAATTTTGAATGTTGTAACTTAGAAGTTCATGAAAGGAGGCTGCGGTTTTTAATAGTATCTTTTAAGGTAGGGAGAATAAGATAGGCTTATATAGAACATCTGGAACTTTCTAAGGATGTAACGTAAAGTTCTAGTATATTCGAAGATAGAATATAATCGTTAGATGGCCTAACGTTCTCATTAAAACCTGCAGCTCTCTCTAGTTAACATTTAAATGACAATATTAAAACTATAGCTTATGACATTGAAATGCTTATAAGTACTCAATTTCAACCAATGCTGTGGTATTTTCTAAACTATAGACCCAAATTAGTTCCAACTCATGAAATATTCACTTATGAGACATAAAATTATCCCTCTTTGTGTCCAGGGGCCCATCTGATGATACTCAAGCCTAATTCATATAGGCCCACTTGTAAGACGCATAAAATTAACACTTTGTGGACATGCATGATATATAGTTACAACTAGGAAAAGGCAACTGAGGGGCCAGCACAGCAACGTTTGTGCCCTTAAAATTCCACATCTATAGTCTTTTACTTACATAATAATGTATGGTTGAGCTGTTGGTAATGGGACAAATATGCTTGCCTCAGGTCTCATTAATTCATAGGCCTACGAAACTGGAAATCAAATCTTAGTAAAACAGAAAAAACAGTAAAACACTTTAGTTTCCAAGAGTATTTACTAAGTTACAACGTCAGCCCAGAAGAACAGATTTTTGGCTTTAGTTTTACTTCTTGTGAACATTTTACCAAATCACACAGAATGATATGCTGCCTTCAACCTATTAATTAATCTAAAACAATTAATATTTACAAAACCAAATAAGCGACGAAATTTGAAATAAGTTCAAATAATCCTGCCAATTTTCTTACCACCAAAGCAAGTTAATAAAAGCTGACACATTCTCCATTCTAGGTATCATAGTTTGTTTAGTGCCTTGGTGTTAAATAACAAAAATTAATTTTAACCCCGAATGTTTTTTTTACTCCTTCTTCAAAAGAAATTAACAAAATTTGGCACTGTTGTAAATACAATAACAGAGAAGTACAAATGTAATTAATAACATAACTTCAATCTGTTCTGTTCAAATATAATTTTGAGTTAGTTAATGATATCGCCATAAGAGGGCATTACGATATTTGCAACTTTAATAAATAAATCTCGGAAAAGTTACAAAAATTGGCTTCACATAACTTTGGGGTACATTTCACTTACTTAAGTCTTTATGAAATAACCAATGGATAAAATGTTTAGTTACATAATTATCTGATTAAGGTAAAAAGTTAGAGTAATTATTACCTGACTAGGTAAACTATGAGCACTTTCTTCTATCTTCCTCGATCTTTTACTCTCCTTGTTTCTGCTCTTTTCTTTAGCTCTAAAGTCTGATTCTTTTCTTTTCATCCTCTGTTTCTCTTCTTTCTTTTTTAATTTTTTAGCGGAGGAATGAGACAAGGAATCTTCTGATTGACTTTTTATTTCACCCTTTGGCTTATGCTTTGTAGAATGGTCTTCAGCATCCTTATGGCTCCAAGAACTGACATTGATGGGACTCTGGTGTCTGAAATATGAACTAACTGAAAAACTACTTTGGCTATCGCAACATCCTGGCGATTTTGGGGTTGGTGTATAATTCCACAAAATATCCACTTCCTTTTCTCTCTCTTTTCTGTGAGTACGAAAAAAAAAGGGAGACAGTGACAGAAACTAATGTATAAACTATATTATTTAAAAGGTTTAGGCTTAGCTTGTAATTTTCATTATTTATTCAACTTGATTCAACTTTTCTAAAATCAAAATCTATAAATTTAAAATTGAATGGATAGTAATACTGTGATGTTACAGTTTAAAATCGAAACTTATCAACTAGTAAAAATAAAAACTTCTGTAACAGGAAGTTAAAAAGATGAGATAGCGCTGTCGAAATATTTACTTGAATGAAAGAATAGGGACATTTGACATGATAAATACAAATATCGGATACAACATTCCGTATTACTCTGAAAGATATTTCCAAATTAATAATACTAATGAGAATATTATAAAACAACACAACTTTTCAGTTCAATGTCAATATATTCTTTATATTTTGTTTTTCAAGCAAGGTACTTGAACCAAAATTCAGTACTGTGTCTACCATCTACAAAGTAGCTATTTATTTAATCGGAAACACTAAAGTTTTGAACATGATTATATTTGGAGTGATTTAGGTATTAATACTTTATAGTTCCTGTTTCATGAATACTGTGCTATATATATATAACATCAAAGTACTTTCAAGGATAATATTAGGGTAACCCAGATTTTTAGTGTAAGTAGTGATTTATATGAATATTTAGTCAGATATTCATTCACCTTAAAACATTGTTACACTTGTCACATTTATCTTTACTGACATATATAAATGTAAGTTTCAGATTAAACTAAGCCAAGAAGCTAGCTTAGATTCTTTGAAATATCTTACCAGTGCTCAATCATTCCTTCAGAAACATATGTTGTTTTTTCAATCATACAATGGTTTGTATTATTTCTTCATTTAACAATACCAACAATGAAATTCCATGACATATGTTTGTTTGTTGTTGAGAATAAAGCTACCGCTGGGATACAGGCATACGATACGGACATTACAGTTTAAGGAAAACAGATCTTTCTCTGTAACTTTAGAAAGATACTGTCTATGGAGATAGATATAAGAGATATCAAACTTCAGATATTAACAGTTTTTCAGGTGATGCCAATCTCTCATTTACACGTATACAAGCTGAGGTACTCGTCCTTTGTCTGGGGATATGAACTTGAATAAACGTGGGGGTGGATGCTATGATAAATAACACAAAAATCCTAACTTTCAAACAATGTATTTATAACATTACATATTATTACAGTATTCATCATTACCTCACCCAAAGTTTTGTATAAGCTTTAAGAAATCAATATGTATATATTTAAAACATGGTATAAACTGTGTGATGGTCAGGGTGACTTTGTAGGAAGAGGTAGTGGGGTGCTTTTGACACCCAGCTCTTAATGTCCTTTCACAGTGTTTCACATGACGAACCAATGATGTTTATTGGCCACAGAAGTGTCTAACGGGCCGAAGTTGAAAGGTCACGAGTCAAAGTATAAAATGGGTCTAACTCAAGAAATGGCTCTTCATATCAGCCTTATGGTGGGTGTTGGAGCAGAAACTTGGGTTGGGTTTATGTAGTATTGCCACAGTGGCAGCCATTATTTTCATTGCATTCCTACATAGAGATATATAAGACAGTTGCGTGCCCCCCACTGTGTGTATGTTGTGTTATATAAGATTTAATTTTTGTTTGTTTTAGTGTAAGAACGTGGCACCATCTATGAATGTAGTTAACATTAACTTATATCAAAGATAACAACTACTCAATAAAAGCAGTAATAAGGTGGTGAGGGTTGTAAGCCCCCCATTAATATGCCCCATGTTCCAAACTATCATCCCACAAAATTTGGTTGAGATTGGCTCAGCGACCTAGTAGTAGTTAGATAACGGACACACAGACACACACATAGATTTCTATGTTTTATACATCTACAAAAACTGTTGCTTATGAGGTGTATGCACTTTATTTAAGGTGTACACAAACAATCACACTGGAATTACTGATTAAACCTGAACTCGTCCCTATCAATTTAAACACCTACAGCTTCCTTGTTTATCAGTAATTCCTTTGTTTACCCTGGCTGTAGCTTCTGATGACCCCTGCTTCCTTGTTTATCTATACTTTCTTCGTTTATCCTGGCTGTAGCTTCTGATGACCCCTGCTTCCTTGTTTGTCTATACTTTCTTTGTTTACCCTGACTGTAGCTTCTGATTACCACTGCTTCCATGTTTATCTATACTTTCTTTGTTTACCCTGACTGTAGCTTCTGATTACCCCTGCTTCCTTGTTTATCAGTAATTCCTTTGTTTACCATGACTGTAGCTTCTGATGCCCCTGCTTCCTTGTTTGTCTATACTTTCTTCGTTTACCCTGGCTGTAGCTTCTGATGACCTCTGCTTCCTGGTTTATCAATACTTCCTTTGTTTACCCTGACTGTAGCTTCTGATTACCCTTGCTTCCTTGTTTATCTATACTTTCTTTGTTTACCCTGACTGTAGCTTCTGATTACCCCTGCCTCCTTGTTTGTCTATACTTTCTTTGTTTACCCTGGTTGTAGCTTCTGATGACCCCTGCTTCCTTGTTTATCTATAATTTCTTTGTTTACCCTGGTTGTAGCTTCTAATGACCCATGCTTCCTTGTTTATCAATACTTTCTTTGTTTA